AAATGAATGCCCCTTTACGATTTTGATCCTTGCTACATACTCTAATGCATTAATACTGTATGAAAGTATTTTCTGTGGCCACGAAAATATCCTTTCCTAGAGTTGATATGAACTTACACTGAATGTTCTATGGATGAACAGATTAGTTGAGGGCAATTTAATTCTGCTACAGTTACTACTGGCAGATGATATAAATAATTGTAATTAATCATAATTACTTGTAATTATTTATATACATTTCCCTTTTGAGCTGATTTGCTACAGTGATATTGGAAGTATTTTTAAACATTCATTTCTTATTTATTTGGTTCCACATGTTTGCGGATTATAATTTATTTAAACTGTGTAGCTTATTTTTATTTTATTTTACATCAAGTATGCCATGTCTCAAAGCTGTCTTATTCATTTTGCTAATAAATGTACGTTTCTTATTTATTTGGTTCCACAGTGTTTACTGATTTTCAGTTTTGTATACCTAAACTTTGTGCAAGTTATTTGTTATTTTATATTAGGCATATAGCATAGTGTATTTTTATTCGTTTTGTTAATAAAAGTTCTATGTTCTATGTATTTTGTTGTTGCTTGAATTTAATTCAAGCAATTGACGCCGAATTGCCGCTAATTTGAAAGTGAAGGTAAAATGTGCATGCACTTTTAAGCTATTTTAAAGTGAAGGAAAGCGAGGAAAAGAGGGAAAACTAACAAACGAACTAAAAACAAACAACTGCTTGATGCCGAATTGCCACTAATTTGAAAGTGAAAGTAAAATGCGCACGTCACTTTTAAAAGCTATTTAAAACAGAAGGAAAATGAGGAAAAGAGGGAAAACTACCCCCCTCCCCCTGCCGGTGATAACGGGTTTAACGGTGTTGTCACTAGGGATATGCAGGTATCAAATTTTCATGTTGTGATTAATTGCTAATGCTTTTATCACAGTATACGGTATTATTATGATATTGAAATTTAGTTTAAAAAAAGTGTTGTCATAATACAGTATAACAGGTTTAATAACTTTTTCTTATAACAAAATAACTGAACATTTAAATACAATTTTTAAATCCAGCTTTTTTATACAGAAAAATTTATAAAGATACAAATTTTACACAGATTAAAGTGCAAAAGAACTATATATACCAATTGGTATCACTTTACAATACGACCTCATTAGTTAACCTTAGATATTGCATTAACATTCACAATGAGCAAAAGCTACATTTGCTACAGAAGTTAATCTTTTTTAAAAATACAACTCTTAAGCCCGATTCGGACAGTAATTGTTTCTCATATGTTTACGTCTGTAAAAATGCATTTACATATCACCTCAGTGATAAAACTCGTGGATTCAGATGGCGATCTATTCACAGTGGAGGAGCGAGTTCTGTGATCCTACGAACCCGGGAACGCACTGCTCACATGGCCAGTCACATGATTGTCTGCTGTAAATAAAATTAATTTTATTTACAAATTCATTCTTATTGTGTAAAATGTATTTTAAAATGCTTATTATTATGTAAAATGTATTCTTACTATTCCAAGCATATTTTATAATATATAATCCTATTTATTATTTGATTATTTAAATCTCCTGTTTAAAAATAGGAAAATAGACGTGCTATATTTGTATATAATTGTACGCAATATATATCTGTTTATAATACACATTTTAAAATTGTATTGCATACGTGCTGCTGCCATAATAAAGACCCATTTCGAATGTTTACGTGGTTTTCTTCTCTTTCTGCTCCCAGTCGCTGTGGTGGAGCAGTTATGAAGTATTGTTCTTTTAAATACTTTCCAGCATTTCAGAAATAAATATGTATGCAAATTACAGCGAAGTACAACGTTACCTTACGGTGTTTGGGAGTGCTCACAAAGGGTTTAAACACTGAATTTTGAATCGATTTCTTCTCGTAAACTCAGAGATGTGGATTCGGACAGCAATTAAATTACCACACGACCTTGGTGTTTGTCAAAAAACAGTAAGTAATTCGGCCGGGGATTTTTACGGGGGTGGTGAGAGAAAGACACCGACATCCTGGATTCGGATGGCATTAAAATCACCAACTACTCCCTGTAAATAGTGAAAATCACTTACGTACCCCTGAGAAACAATTACCGTCCGAATAGGGCTTTAGCTCATGTTAGCTCATTAAATAACACAGTTGAAACTTTTGATTTTAACAGCGTGTTATTAAATATTGGAATTACCCAAGATTAATGAATGTTAGAAGAATTTTTTATTGGCAGTTTATGTTAAAGGGGTCCTATTATGCTCTTTTACAAAGTCTTGAATTTGTTTTGGGGGTGTACTAGAACAGGCTCTCATACTAGGTTGTTCAAAAAACACATTATTTTTCACATATTTTACATTATTACAACACCTCTCTCCCCAGTCTGGCATGAACGCCTCGAATAGTTTTAATTTAAACCAGGATGATTGTAACCACTCTTAAGTTCGTCTGCC